AAGCACTTGTAACCCCAGCACCGGAGAGGAGTAGGCCAGCCATCTAGCCTCATCAGCAAGTGCCAGGTCCCAGCGTGGGACCCTGGCTCAGAAAACCTGGCTGGCTGGCTGGCTGGCTGGCTGGCTGGCTGGCTGGCTGGCTGGGTGGTGGTGGTGGCACACACCTTTAATCCTAGCACTCTGGAGGCAGAGGCAGACAGATCTGTGAGTTACAGGACAGTTAGGGTTGTTACACAGAGAAATCCTGTCTCAAGAACCAGAAAAAAAGGAAAGGAAGGAAGGAAGGAAGGAAGGAGGAAGGAAGGAAGGAAGGAAGGAAGGAAACCAGATTGACAGCTCCTAAGGATGACACTGGAGGTTGACTTCCAGCCTCCAGACACAAACAGTATGCTTGGGCACACACACGTGTGCACACACACAGACACAGACACATACACAACAAAAACAATAAACACATGCACAGATAAGCACTCCATAATGATTTAAAAGCCAAATGGCAGGTAAGTGTAAGTTGTATTCAGTAAGCCCAAGGGCAGAATCTCATAGCATATGTACATTGTCATTCTAATTTTGTTGTAAAACAACACCAAATCCTAAGAAGTTTTACTTATTACTAAGATTGGGGGAGGGTGAATGGGAGAGTATGTGTTCTCTGAACTTTAGATGGTATGTACAAAGAACAAACCACTTTGATTAGGACAGATGAAGCCCAGTTACTTTTATTATCAATTTAAATAAAGATTTCTTTTTCTTCCATGTGATGAGTGTTTTTCCTGTATGTATGTCTGCATGTGTGCAGTGCCCACAGAGGCCTGAAGGGGGTGTCAGATCCCTGAAACTGGAGACAATTGTGAGCTGCTGTGTAGGTGCTGGGAATAGAACTCAGGACCTCAGGAAGAGTAGCCAGCGCTCTTAACTGCTGAGCCATGTCTCCAGCCTGATCAATTTTAAATTTGTTTTAGCCTTTAACAGAAAGTGGCTTCCTGTTCTCAGGATGGGGCAGAATCTTAGCAATGTGTATCTTGGCTGCCCTTTAGTCTCTGTATTTCTGGAGGTAGAAAATACGAGCTCAGGTCATATTTGGAAGGGGTCTGAGTGCACTTTTAATTATCGCAACGAAAGCTTTGAGGGACACTAACTTTATTTATTTATTTATTTAGCTTCTTTTGAGGCAGTCTCATTTTGCAGCCTTGCCTGGCCTGAAGCTTGCTATGTAGACCACGGGCTGGGAATTCTGGGGTTCAAGGTATTCGACACCATGCCTCCCCCCCACCCCCAAGACAGGGTCCACTCTAGTCCAGGTTGGTCTTGGACTCTCTATGTAGTCAAGGATGACCTTGGACTTCTGACACTGCTGCCTCCGCCTCCTGAATAGCAGAGATGACAGATGTACACACCACTTCTTTTTTTTGTTTGTTTTTGTTTTTTTTTTTTTGTTTTTTTTTTTGAGACAGGGTTTCTCTGTGGCTTTGGAGACTGGCCTGGAACTCACTCTGTAGACCAAGCTAGCCTCGAACTCACAGAGATCCTCCTGCCTCTGCCTCCTGAGTGCTGGGACTAAAGGCGTGAGCCACCAACACCCATCATGCACACCACTTCTAGAAGATTCCACAAAGTTGTCCTCTGATCTCTTTTCCTTCCAGCTGTGGCCCCTTAGGCAGCCAGGTAACACCATAAGACTGGCCCATCAGCCTACTCTCTGTGAGGCTGGGCAGGCCGGGGGTATCCCTGAAATACAGTCCTGCTTCCCATACCTGGAGGCTGCCCAAATACTCTTTGTCCCCCGAACTGCTTCTCTATGGCTATTTTTTCAAATGGCTGACTGGGCCTCAGTTGCCATCTCCTGTAAGTCCAGTGGCCTTTAGTATCGTCTCAACGGTTGTTCTAACCACCAACCACCACTTTTAACCGTTTCAGTCACCACCCCCAAACCTCTACCCGCCAAAAGTCACTTCTGACTTCCTTCCACCACTGGCCCGGGCCAGCCCTAAGCAGCCACCGATGTTCCGTCTGTGTCTATAAATGTGTCTACTGTCAACATTTCATCTGCCCTTAACCGTAGACTATGATCTTTTGGTGGATGCCTTTCTTGCTCCCGCTTAGCGCAATGTCTTCACGGCTCCAATACAGTTGCATTTCCCAGTAGCCCGCTTCCCTTTTCCTTTGCTGTAGAATACTTAAGCACAGTACTTTTATTTTCCTATTATTCATTCATTCATTCACCACTTAGTGGGCTATCTGTGTTGTTTCTAGCTTCTGGATACTGTGAATAATGCTAGCATGAAAGTGATTACATATGAATGTACATTTTCACTTCTCCTAGGCTAGCAGGAGTGGTGGTCATATGGCACGTATTTTGTGTGTGTGTGTGTGTGTGTTGTGTGTGTGTGTGCCTCTGTGCGTGTGTGTGTGTCTGTGTATGTGTGCCACTGTGTGTGTGTGTTTGTGTATGTGTGCCTCTGTGTGTGCACGAGCGTGCGTGCACGCTTGTCTCTGTGTATGTGTGCCTCTGTGTGTGGGGGGGGGCAATTTCAGGTCTTCGTGCCTCTGCAGCACAGCATCCGAGCTATTGCATTCATTCTGCATCCTCACAGCGTCATTTTACACTCCTAGAGTCCCAGCCTCCTTACACCTTCCACAGCATAGCCTCGTGTCACCTGTCTTTTTATTATCATCGTTCATGTGTGTGACATTGGCTCACCATGGGCTTTGATTTCTCTGGGTAGTTTGCAAGTTCCAACTCTGCCAGAATTGTGTGTTCTGGGGGTGCAAGGGGACACCTGTGCAAACTAGACTTCAGCTGCTCCCACCGGCTCTGTGGCTTCCTCACTAGTCAGTGACTCACTCCATCCCTTAAAAGCATTTAGCGAGATGGTACAGTCACAGGTGTACAGTGTGCAATTCCCTGCACATTATTGATGTGGCGGTACTCGACTTTAATTTCAGGACCCTGGAGGCAGGGGCAGGCAGATCTCTAGGTTCAGGCTAGTCTGGTCTACAGAGTTCAGGAACAGCCAGGGCTACACAGAGAAACCCTGTCTGGAAAAGCAAACAAACAAAAAGATGCTTTTAAACGAATTCCTCTAAGTCAAGAAGAGTGATCATATCACTAGCCCACGGGGGAAGATGAAAGAAATCGACCTCTGGAGTATGAGAGCCATACCTGGTAAATAACGACCCATGGAGCACCAGGGCCACGTGAGACTTCATTTCCAGAAGTGACAAGCCCTGAGGAGCCCAAAGCAAGTTCCCCTAAGTTGTCAAGTCCCATGTAGCCCAGGTTGCCAAGAATGACCACGAACCCCTGTTTCTTCTGTTGCCTCTACCATCTGTGGTTCTTAAGGTAACATGCTATAAAAATCTCTTGGTCAGAACACACTGAAAACACTTCCCACGAAGCTGAGAAACAGAGGTCTGTATGTCACTGAGACGGTGGCTCCAGAGGGTGCTGTCAGGGTGGCTGCTTCTGTTCACCCACAACTGGTAAGTGAGGGGCTTCCAGCTTCCAACAATGAAGACCCCACGTCAGAACACTGTTCCTGAACAGCTGGGCAGAGGCAGGGGCCAGACAGGAGGGCCAAGCAGGCAGCCTCACTCCCGGGATTTGATGAGCCAGCTGCCGCAAAGGAGGAAGACTCCTGGCCTGGGTTTTAAGAGAAGCAGAGGGGCAGCTGGCCGAAGAAGTCACTGTTAAGACCCTTGCCCTCTGATTTGGAACAGGCCCTTTCACTGTCCCCAAAAGCTGACACAATACAATACAAACCCATGGACCAGCATTAGCGTTTCTCCCAAAATCGCAGGCTAGCAGAGACATTTTTCATTGGCTTCACTTGTGGATCCAGGCAGAGACCTCCCATCCAAACCTCTGCACCTTCCCCTCATCTCCACCTGTGCCATCTTTTACAGATCAAAGAGGTGGCCTCTGGGTTTTGTTTGGCTGATCAAGGCTCTCAGCCTGGGTCCCGCACACAGCTCTGCTCAAATCAAAAGTGCTCAGCACCAGACCTTTTTAGTTCCTTTTTAAAACGTCTCTGTACCCCAATTTTGGTCCACCCAGTTACCCTCCTTAAGAGGGGCGAGAGCGTCTCCCTCCTCCCTTTCCGCAGGGAATGCCAGTCACCTTTCTACTCATGGATGGCAGAAAGCCCTGGCTCTGTACCCCAGCCCCTGGGGGCTGCTCAGGCTTGGAAGGCAGGTTCCAGCTTCCGGGGTGTGACCTTGCACCCGGGTCCCTAAACTTCTGTCCCTACAGCTTTCTGCAAAACATGCCTCTCCACCCATGGTGAGTGGGGCATCAAACCGCTCAACCCAGTTTCAAAGCACACCACACAAACAGAAAAGGTATACATTTCAAAGAAGCTGAAAAACAAAAAACACAGGGAGGAAAGAACGGTGGGTAAAGAGCGAACTGGAACAGGCCTGGAAACTTCTGGCCCGGCCATCTCTGGCTCTCTCAGCCAGAGGCTTTGTGCAGCCCTGGTAACACTAACAACCGGCCCCCTCACCCTGCCTGACTCCAAGTGACCACCAGAAGCCCCTCAGCTACAGGCCTTTCCAGTTAACCGTCTGCCTTCTGAGGAGCCCCTGAGGCCTGGGGGAGGGCAGGGGACCCGGCGATGGTCTTAAAGGCGGCGCTTCTCCCCGTCCCCAGCAGAGATCGGAAAGCCAAGCCGAGCCTTCTGCTCTCCTGCGGCCGGGCGCGGCCTGGGGATGGCAGGGGACAGCGGGGAACTCTCCCTCCCCTGCCCGGGTGCGAGTCGCGAGGCCTGGAGAAGAGGAAGGAAGGCGAGGAGGAACTTGCACCCCGGGTTTCGGTGGGGTAGCGGCCGGGCCCTGTAGGGCGGCGGCTGGAGAAGCGAGGAGGGGGTTGGAGATCCTGCGGGCTGCTCCAGGAACTTTCTAGCAGACACTGGGGACACCAAAGCGGCGCGCGGTGCTCCCGGGGTCCCGGCCAGGTGCAGCCCCGCGTACGAGTCCCCAGGCCACTCCACTCTTCTTACCATCTGCGCCACTTTGAGCAGGGCGCCGTGGGTGCGCGGGTACACCGCGTCCAGCAGTCCCTCCGAGGGCTGGCCTGGCCCCGGCGCGCCGCCGCTGCTGCACGTGGTCCGGACGAGTCCCGATCCATGCGACATCGCGGGGGCCCAGACCGGCTGGCCGCCTCCGGGGCCCCGAGACCTCTGGCCAGTGAAGCTGGGACGGGACGGGGCGGGGCCTCGGGGGCGGGGCGCACCGCTCCCTCTTCCCAACTGTGGCGGGACCCAGGGAGGACCCGCGAGCAGATGCCCCGCAAGCTCCTGCCCACCAGACGCGCGGAAGTTGGACTGGTGTGGGCAGGAAACCGGACGCCTGGGGCCCTGGCCTCTCCCAGGCGCGCACCGCCCAGGTCACAGCTGGTGACGAGCCTCCAGGGATTTTTTTTTGTGTGGGTGCAGCTGCCGCTGGGTGCTGCGCTATTCGTTTCTGAGTGTGCATGTGTGTGTGCACAGGTGCGTGCACACACCTTCCTTCCCCCATCCTCCCTCTACTCTGCCTTTTTTTTTTTTAAGGGCAGGCAGGCTCTTTTTAGCCGGAGGGGTGGCACATATTTTCAATTCCAGCACTGGGGAGGCTGAGTCAGTATGATATCTGTGAGTTCGAGTCAACGGGGCCTACATAGTGAACTCCGGGATCGCCAGGACTATACAGAGAGACTTTGTCTCAAAAACAAACAAGTCAAGATTTCACCATGTACCCTGGAACTCACTATATAAACCCAGCGAGCCTCAAACTCAGAGGTATCCTGCCTTAGCCTCCCCAGTGTTGGCATGTAAAGGTGTGCGCCACACCCCACCCATGGCGCCGCTGCTTTTAGCTGGCTCTAGGCTGTGTAAAGTTGGCAGTTAAAGCCAACCAGGAAACATCTTCGGTATCGTAATACATCTTTTTAATTTTGTGTGTGTGTGTGTATGTGTGTGTGTGTATACTCGTGCACACTCGAGCACAGAGGTCGCAGGAGGATGGCCGGTGTCCCGCTCTGTCACTCTCTGCCTTCATCTCGCAGAGCCCAAAGCCCTGGTTAGTTACTCTTCTTCCCCCGACAGAGGAAATACCTGGCGAAAGCAACCTTCGGAAAGGGGATTATTTTGGCCCATGTGGCATGTTTTGTTTTGTTTTGTTTTTCTGGTCTGTTATTGGACCTGAGGTGAATAGATGTTTGTTCGTATCTCAGAAGTCACACAACACAGGCTTAGTCCTGGTTCTTTTTTTTTTTTTTTTTTTTTTTTTTTCTTCCTGAGACAGTTTCTCTGTGTAGCCTTGGCTGTCCTGGAACTTGCAGAAATCCACCTGCCTCTGCCTCCCCTAGTACTGGGATTAAAGGTGTGTGCCACCACCACCTGATTTAAGGCTTTAAAAATATTATTTTTTATTTTAAACTTATTTATTTTATGTCTATGAGTGTTTTTCCTACATCCATGTCTGTGTGCTATGTGTGTGCCTGGTGCAGGTGGAGGTCAGAAGAGGGTATTGGATCCCTGGAACTGGAGTTACAGACAGTTCTGAGCTGCCACGTCGTAGGTGCTGGGAATTGAACTTGGGTCCTCTGGAAGAGCTGTCAGTGCTCTTAACCAATGAGCCACCTCCAGCCCAAGGAAGACTGTTTTTTTTTTTTTTTTTTTTTTTTTTGGTTTTTCGAGACAGGGTTTCTCTGTATTGTTTTGGAGGCTATCGGTCCAGCCCAGCCTCGAATTCACAGAGATCCTCCTGCCTCTGCCTCCCGAGTGCTGGGATTAAAGGCGTGCGCCACCACCGCCCGGCTGACTGTTTTTCTTTGATACATAAGGTTGAGGTCTCATTAAAAGTTAAAATGGCTGGAGGTCAGAGTATAACAGAAACTGTTACCCCAGTGATGCCAGGAAGCCCCCCCTCCCCAATCCATTCTTCCCTCACATAGTCTAAGTACCTACCTTTGTATTGGCAGATACATAGTTTACAGCATCATACATCATCTTTCCTGTGTCCCAGACACCCACACTGGGACAGATGTCTCACCTGCCTTTTACAGCTCCCTGCTTACAGGCCACTTCCTGTTTGTTTTTGTGTACTTTGAAGACAGGGTCTGGCTAATAGCTCTGGCTGTTCTGGAACTCTCTAGGGAGACCAGGCTGGTCTCCAAATTCACAGAAATCGACATGCCACTGCCTCCTGAGTCCTGGGATTAAAGGTGTTTGTCATCTGTATGCTGCTTATTTTATATCAGACTCATGACTCTGCAGGCAAACTTGGCTGTGAGTAATCTTCCACATTAAACTAGTCTGGGCAGGAAAGGGTGGGTGGGTAGCTAGGCTGAGTTTGGGTGGGTAGGGGGAGTGTGGGGAGGTCAGCAAGACCTGCAGGCCTTAGCAGGGGTCCAGTGTTTTCTGTTTATTTGTACCAGGACCTATGCTGGCTCCAGGCACCTTTGAAAGTGAACTGTTAGATTTGATTTTTTTGGGGGGGGTTCGAGGCGGGGTCTCTCTGTGTCTTTGGAGGCTATCCTGGAACTAGCTCTTGTAGACCAGGCTGGTCTCAAACTCACAGAGATCCCAGATTTGATTTTTAACAGGGCTTGTCAAGTAGCCTAGACTGGCCAACAAGTCTTCGAGATTCTCCTGTCTCTGCCTCCCCAGCGCTGGGATTGTGGTCCTGTGGGTGCGAAGGATCCAAGCTCAGGTCCGTACAGCAAGCACTTCTAACCTCTGAGTCCCTCCCTCCCCCCCATACACACATGTATGCATTGTGTATACTCACATAGTTACATTCTAGCATTGTATGTCCATGTTATTTTCGTTGAAAACCTATCCTTGCCGTTACATTTCAATAAAGCCGGTTTCCCCACAGAATGCCATCTTTTCGGTTAAAACACTGTTGCGTTGGGGTAGAGGTGCAGCCTTCTTGGTTTTAGTGTTTTCAGTGCCTCCTACAGAGATACATGTTGTATTTGCAATCCTTTGTGTGGGGATACCTGGAAGGGATTTTTCAGGTGAAGAGAGCAATTTAAAAATCTGAAAATGAATTATTGCAATTAAACATTACCTCTCCAGATTTTCCTACAGTTTTCAAATACTAGTCAAATATTTATCATTACCAGGATGGACTGGAAATAGCAACGGTGAGTGATGAGATGCCTCAAGCATTTTTTTAATTGATTTTCCTGGATAAGCAAACACATTAAATTAAAAGACCTCCCAGTTCCACCTAAGAGGCCAGGAAATCCAGCAAAGTGGACTCAGCTGTTGAGCGCAAATGATGGGGGAGATGATTTTTTAGGTGAGCATACAAAGTCATGGCTTTCATTGTGGCTTCTTAAAAATATTTTAATTACACTGTGTGTGTGTGTGTGTGTGTGTGTGTGTGTGTGTGTGTGTGTGTGTGTGTGTGTGTGTACTCCAAAGTGAGATCAGGGGGTAGTTTATAGGAGTCAGTTCTCGCTTTCCATTATGCGAGTCCTGGGGGTTGAACTCAGGTCATCAGGTGTGGTGGCCAGTGTCTGTCTTTACCGGCCGGGCTGTCTTGCCGACCCTACCATGGAACCTTCGCATATAACTGTCGCTATGCTTTGTTTTGCTTGTTCCTTCGCCCATTTTCTTCTTTTTTTTTCTTTTCAAACAGGTCTCACTATGTAGCCCTGACTGGCTTGGAAGTCCCTATGTAGACCATGATGGACTCAAATATGCCTGTTTCTCTTAGTCCTGGCATTAGAAGTATGCTGGATGCTGGATGCTGGATGCTGGATGCTGGATGCTGGATGCTGGATGATAGTGGCACACGTCTTTAATCCCAGCACTGGGGAGGCAGAGGCAGTTGGATCTCTGCATTTGAAGCCAGCCTGGTCTACAGAGTGAGTTTCAGGACGCCAGGGCTACACAGAGAAATCCAGTCTCAACCAACAAAACAAAAATAAAAACACAGCACTATGCTGTTGTTTTTAAAAAACAAAAACAAAAAAAAATCAAATTCAGTTCAAATGTTTCAACTATTGCCACAAAACAAAACAAAAACAACCCCATCCCCATAATGTTCTCACCTTAAAAAGGATAAGAGATGTTTTATTCTGGAGCCCAATTTGAGTGACCATGGCCTTGGAACACAGATTTGGGTGGACCCAAACCTCATGTTCCCCCGTGGGAGCATTTGTATAGCTTTACAAAACAAAGGGAGTTGTAGAGAGAGAGGTCGTTACAGAAAGATGGGTGAGGTTCTCCGTAGGCCTCAGATGTGTCTGGTGGCATCCTTAGCTTTGGGATTGCGGAAGCCTGAGGTCTGATAAATTAATAGATTCCAGGAGTTTTCAGTCTATTAGTCACAGATTGTTGCTAACCAGACACAGAGGCTAGCAAGGAATGGCCATTGCAGGAGGGGGGGGGGTGTTAACCTAGATAAGGAAGGGATCTGGAGACCTGCAACATTCCAACCTGTCCACACCCATGAAGTTCTGTCAGCCAATCGGTCAGACGAGGCTTCTTTCCAGGAACTCTTGTTGCCACCAGCTGTCTGGAATCATCTTTTTATCTGAAATTGCAAACTTGGAGAGGATTCACCAGAAAAGGCTCTTGATTGTTTTTTCGTTTGTTTGTTTTGTTTTGTTTCTCTGTGGCTTTGGAGGCTGTCCTGGAACTTGCTCTGTAGACCAGGCCGGTCTCGAACTCACAGAGATCCGCCTGCCTCTGCCTTCTAAGTGCTAGGATTGAAGGCGTTCACCACCACTGCCCGGCTAGTTTTTGTTTTTTTAAAAGAAATTTCTTTTGGTTGAACCTATGTTTATTGTTTTGACACATTCTCAGGGGAGCTTGTGGGTCTGCTTTTGAGAAACCACAGAGCAAGGCAGAAGGTAAGATACTGTTCGTGATGGTGTTTGGGATTTCCAGCCAAGGGAGAGCCACGCTTACCCCAGTGGACTTTACTCTCTCAAGATTAAAAGGGCCTCTCCTATAAGGTTCCCAGAAACTCCCCTGTAGGTCTCATTTCTTTGTCCTTTTCTGGAGCCTCGATGGCCGCAGCATAAAGTACTTAAAAAATCCACTTGCAGAAGGTATTCTTGTTTTGGTGAGAGGACAGAGAAATAACCCAAAAGACAGTTTTAATTACCTTGTTTTTTGTTTTTGATGACCTGGGGGATTAAATACAGTGAGATTACCCAAACTTTACTTTCTTTTTTCTTGTTGTTTTGTAGTCTGACTGACCAGGAACTCTTATGTAGGCCAGGTTGGTCTTGAACAGAAACCACCTGCCTCTGCCTCTGGGTCTGAAAGCACACACCACCATGCCTGGGTGTCTTAGTCAGGGTTCTGTTGCTGTGAGAAGACACCATGGCCAAGGCAACTCTGATAAATGAAGACATCTAACTTCATTGCTTGCTTAGAGTTTCGGAGGTTCCGTCCATTTTCATTGTGGCGGGGAACATGTCGGCGTGCAGGCAGACGCGGTGCTGGAGAAGTAGTTGGGAATTCTACAACTGGATGCTCAGGCAGCAAGAAGAACCACTAGGCTTGGTTTGGGCTTCTGAAACCTCAAAGTTCACCCCCCAGCGACACTCCAACAGGGCTACAACTCCTAACCCCTCCCAAGGAGTGCCACCCCCTGATGATCAAGCATTCAGACATGGTTTTGTAGGAGACTAGCTGGCATGGTGGTGGGGAAGAGGCCGTGGGTGGTGAATGTGTTCGCCCTTTAGTGGATCTCAACTTCCCTAAGGCTGCGACTCTGTAATACAGCCCCTTAGGTTTTGGTGACCCCAACCATAAAATTATTTTCGTGGCTACTTCATAACTGTAACCTTGCGACTGCTATGAATCCTAATGTAAATATCTGTGTTTTCTGATGGTTTTTGTCAACCCCTGTGAAAGGGTCATTGGACCTCAAAGGGGTCGTGACCCACAGGATGAGAACTATTGTTTTAAAGACAGCGTGGACAGTGAATGCGTTCACTGTTTAGACGAGCATAGCAAGGAAAGTCTATCCGGTATATTGCAAGCAGCGGCAGCCCAGGCAGTAACGTGAGAGCTACAGGCAGCTTTATTATGTCTTTTGCGAAGTCACCAAGCAACAGGCTGTCCCAGGGATGCCATGGAGAAGCAAATAAACAGAAGCAGCCCTGACATACAGGCGAAAGAAACAGCCCTGAACAGCCCCAAAAGCCTGCGGGCATCACATTGAAAGGTGTCTTGCACACGGCAGCAATCCCACTAGCGTTTCTGCTGTTTCTCTTGTTTTTCAAAAACTCAAATTGAAAAGTCACCCCAAGATACTTGCTGTAGCGACAGGAACTGTCCCGCCTAAAAACACTTCCTGTCAGCGCATGTGCCTGGCTCATCTGAGTTCTCCCCCTATCTGATAACAACTGCGGAAGACGTCATCATGGTGTCCAGACAGATCTGAGCTATGGAGACATTTCGGCACACAAGTTCGGCACAGAAATTCTGCTCAGATTTGGCACAGACATCTCTGGGGTCAGCAGGATCTGTTCGTGCACCCCCGCCAGAGAACAACCTTAGATGTGGTTCCTCCGGTGCTGTTGCCTTTTTCAGAACAGGGTCTCTCACTGGCTGGCTCAGAACTGCACAAGCAGGTTTTGCTGGCTGACTAGAAACCACAGGGGCCTGCCTGTCTTTTGCTTCACTAGTGCTGGGATTATAAATCCACGGCCAGGCTGCAGAGATGGCTCAGCCACTAAAGGCTAGGCTCACAACCCCAAATAAATGCACTACCGCCCCTGACTTTTTTTGGCGTGGGGGGCGGGTGGGTGGGGCAGGGTCTAGTGTAGCCTCAGGCAGACCTTGAACTCCTGATCCTCTAGTCTTATCTCTTCAGTGTTGGGATTACATGTGCACACTACTTCACCAGGGGTTGAACTTGGGGCTCTCTCTCTCTCTCTCTCTCTCTCTTTTTTTTTTTTGCTTTTCTTGACTTTTTTTAACTTTTAGTTTTTTTATTAAAATAAAATTTATTTATTTTACATACCCTCTCTCTGGCATCCTCCCACCAACCCCCCCATCCCACTCCCTATCCACTCCTCTGGGGAGAGTGAGGCCTCCAATAGGGGATCATCAAAGTTTGAGACATCATTTGGGGCAGGACCTAAGCCCTCCCTGTGTATCTAGGCTGAGAGAGTATCGCTCTATGGGGAATGGGCTCCCAAAGCCCATTAGTGCACTAGGGATAAATACTGGTTCCACCTCAAGAGGCCCCATGTTCAGGGGGGTCTGGTTCAGTCCTATGCTAGTTTCCCAGCTGCCAGACTGGTGTCCGTGTCTGTGAGCTCCCAATTGCTCAGGTCAGCTGTCTCTGTGTTTGATTTTTTTTTTATGTGGGTCCAGGAGATCAAAGCCAGGTCCCCTACTTGCATGACAACTGAGCTAACAACATGATTTAAAGGTGCCTGTACTTATTGATCCTTTTAATGGCTACATATTTATTTTAATGTGTTCCCGAATAAACAAGACTGTCTGGCGGCAGCTTTTTGCCAGAGTTCATTACCGAGCCTAAGGCCACGTCTCACTTGATCTCTCTAGTATGTGAAAGTCATAGATGGGCACTGTGGTTCCCAGATCTGAAGAGATGGGTCTCTCTTGCCACCCTGACCTGGTGACCAAGGACAAGTGTTTTCTGACAAATATGGAGCCCAAGAAGCCCTGTGAGCAGGAGCTTTCCCAGCTCTGAGGTTCTGGGTGTGTCCACTGTCAGTCATATTCAACTTTAGCTAGGGTGTCCCACCGTTCAATCTGGTCTTCAACCTTAGCTTTGGAGAGGTATCACAGCCACACATAGCCCTTTCAGGGGACCCAAGAGCACAGCTGCCTAAGCACCAGTTATAGCGTATTTGAAGTCCTTACCCTACGCAGACACACATATACATAACTAAAAATAAGAATAAGCCAGGCAGTAGTGGTGCACGCCTTCAATCCCAGCATCTGGGAGGCAGAGGCAAGTGGATCTCTGTGAGTTCAAGGCCAGTGTCTTGTTGACAGAGTGAGTTTCAGGATAGTCAGGGCTACACAGAGAAACCCTGTCTCTGGAAAGCCAGCCAACCAACCAACCAAACAAATAATAATAATAAAAAATCTTTAAAAAGAAGAATTAGCAGCCGGGCGTTGGTGGCGCACGCCTTTAATCCCAGCACTCGGGAGGCAGAGGCAGGTGGATCTCTGTGAGTTCGAGACCAGCCTGGACTACCAAGCGAGTTCCAGGACAGCCTCCAAAGCCACAGAGAAACCCTGTCTCGAAAAACCAAAAAAAAAAAGAAGAAGAATTAGCTTTAGACCAGTGAGATGTATCAGCGGGCAAAGAAAGGTTCCTGCTGCCACACTTGAACCCTAAATTTTATCCTTGGGTTCTGTAGGGTGGAAGGAGAGAGCTCACTCCTGCAAGCGTCCTTGAACCTCACCATGTGCACTGTGACACACTCGCATACCCACACCCATACACAAACACACACACTAAACAGAAATGTAATTTAAAAAAGTTATCTTTACAAATCTGACACATTTTCAGCATTTAGCAATTTATTTATACATTATGTAACAAAATAAAGCCTATGAAGACGTTAAGAGACCTCAGGGTTCATTAGCAGTCACAGCGCTCAGCAAGTGTCCAGTTTAATTGTAAGAAGCCATTAGGAGGTAATTTAACTAAGATATAAAAACATTAGTTAAATACAATTCTGGGACAATATACATCATAGCTACAACTGTTTTTACAGTGGGATTCATCCCGGTGTGTTTTCTTCTCCATTATCCCGTGAGGAAGTCACTGTGTGGTCCTGGCTCTCCAGGCTACGAAACTGAAGTATGTGTTACCAGCGTAGCAGATGGTGACCAGGAAGGCGAAGAACTGTGGGGGAGGGGAGCATGGCAGAGAGGGCATCAGCACACTCGCACACAGACAGCTATTGTTTCCCCTGACTACGTCAGGTCAGGCTGCCCTAGACTCTGGGCTTCCTTCTCCAAGCCTACTTTATTGCATCAATAACCTTTCTTCTTTAGGGGCGGCGATGGAGTTGTGCAAGTCTAATCTAGGGTAGGCAACCTAGAGATGAGGTAAGGAAGCCTCCACAACCTACACCCAGCCAGCGTGTTGTCTGTGAGTCTCAAATCTCAATTTGCAAATCGTGTTTAAAGTTGGGGGGGGCGTGGCTGGAGAGGTGGCTCAGGGGTTAGGAGCACTGGCTGCTCTTCCAGAGGCCCTGAGTTCAATTCCCAGCAACCACATGGTGGCTCACAACCATCTGTAATGAGATCTGGCGCCCTCTTCTGGTGTGCAGGGATATATTCAGGCAGAACGCTGTATACATAATAAGTAAGTCTTTTAAAAAAAATAAAGTTAGGAGGGACCGGGGGACAGCTCGGGGAGGGCGAGCTTGTGGCAGTTGCAGAAAAGGAGGTCGTCACCGTTGCTTCAAGATTCACCCTGTCCTGCAAAGCTCCCAACCGTATGCTGCGCCTTCAGCCACCACCCTCCTGAGCTGGCCTTCAGTGCTCATCTTCTGCAGGGGACCTCAGCCTTTTTAGAAGGGCAGCGACTGTCACACGCTGGCTCCTCCATGCTATGTGTTAACCTGAGCCCAGGCTGAGTTTTAATGCCTTGTTGGCCAACCAGTCAACTGCTCTCTTTTGTCACCGTTGCAAGTGGCCCTTGGGGGGAAAGTTTCAAGACTATGGGTGGTGTTTGGGAGGACTCACTCACCGAGGAGGCTGCCCAGCTGTTGAAGTTGTGACTGTCCTTCTCTGGGGAGACAGACGACGCATCCACTACGGCGGCTGAGAGGTACAGGAGGAAGGCGCTGCCGTTGAAGCCCAGGCCCTGCGGAGAGGGGCAGAGTGTTGAGGGGAGGGGACCGTACAAAGGGCAGGTCCTGGTGTGCGCAGGAGCCTGTGGACAACTAGGGCAAGCCAAGAGGGGGCGAGCATGTCACTGCAGCCCCAGTCCAGGGTGCCACATGTCCCCAAAGGCTCCCAGACTGCAGACTGTCCCGTTAGTCATCACTTTCCCTCCACTAGTGCCTGGTCCCCTGTTCCTGTGAAGCTCAGTGTGGCGATCCTGGTGGAGGGAGGCGCAGGAGGGGCGGCCTACAGTGCTGTCTGCCTCACCCCAGGCGTGCTCATCTGGCAGAGACTTTTCCTGGGCCCCTAGTCCCAGGGGAGGGCCAGGTAGCTAAAGCTACTTCCTAATTGTAGGTATATGTTTGTACACATGTATGTTTGGGGGGCAGGCATGTAGCACAGGTTGGTCTTGAACTTCTGATCCTCCTACCTTTATCTCCTGAGTGCTATGATGCCCAGTATGTACTGCCATCACCAACAACTTCACAGATACTTCTTAAAATGAGAGAGGGAGGGAGGGAGGGGAGCAGACAACATCAGAGGCCTTTGAGAGCTGTTGTCACCTTGGCTTCCCTATTTTTCTTTACTGTTCAATAATGGAGATTTGTTAGAGACAAGTGGGCAACACTGTAAATGTAATTCTTAGCTGACAGCTGTTCTTGTTATATATAATTTCACTATGTTTTATTTAGTCAAAACGAGGGGAAATGTTGCAGAGTATTTGTTTACACTATGTTAAGATGTGGCACTGTGATTGGTTTAATAAAGAGCTGAATAGCTGGGCTGGAGAGATGGCTCAGAGGTTAAGAGCACTGGCTGCTCTTCCAGGGGTCCTGAGTTCAATTCCTAGCAACCACATGGTGGTTCACAACCATCTGTAATGAGATCTGGCGCCCTCTTCTGGCCTGCAGGCATACATGCAGACAGAACACTGTGCACACAATAAATAAAAAACAAACAAGCAAACCAAGCTTAAAAAAAAAAAAAGAGCTGAATGGCCAATAGCCAGGCAGGAGAGACTAGGTGGGACTTTCAGGGAAAGAGAGGAACTCAGGATGAATCTAGGCATAGGAGACACCAGGGAGATAGTGAAGAAGTCGGACATCTGGTACGGAGAAGAGGTAGCCAAGCCATGTAGATTATAAGAGCTAGATGGGAAAAAGCCTAAATTAAGGTCAAGCTTTCATAATTAATAATAATAAGTCATTATTGTGAGCTGCCAGCCCAAAGGGAAGCCAGACTATACAACTAGGACGCTGTACTCTGACTGTGTGTGAAGAGGGAGTAGGAAGAAGGGAGCCAACAGCCACTCGAGGGGAAAGAGGAGTGCACCCTACTGTCAGGGCTACCACGCCTGCCATCTTTCCCCCAGGAAGTCAGAGATGAAGGACGGGAGTCAGGGAAAGGGAGGAAGCAATCTTCTCCTTTGCTGGAAGAAAAGGTACACAGAATTCTCAAGACAGATGCCAGCATCCTGAGGTGAGCCGCAACCCCTGTTTCCGTCTTAGCCTTGCGTGCACACAGGCCCTGGTCATCCGCAAGGAGAGGGTGTCCCTACGAGGATGCAGCTCAGTTGGTGTAATGTGGTCTCCACCCCTGGCCCTGGATAACCTAGGTGTCACGGTGCACTCTGGAGGCGAGGGCTGGGAGATGGAGGCTCAGGGTCATTCTCAGCCACACAGTTAGAGACCTGCCTGGGCTGTGAGACCCTGCCACAAAACCAAGCAACAACTAAACAAAGAAACTAGCTCCCAGATGGCTCCAGAGGAGAAATGTGGCCGGGGATGGGGACAGAGGACGCGCCGCTGCCCTGCTGCTGCCAAGGGCCAGGTGTAGCTCAGACACGCTAGACCCTCCAGCTTCTGGTGGTCTCAGTCATCCCTGTGCCATGGGAGTGAGCTGTGAGAGCATGGAACTTTACAAAGGGGCCAGCTGCTCTGTGTGGAGGGGAGGGGGAGCAGAGGAGGGGGGGTGGAGAAGAGAGGAGGGGAGGGAGGCCACGGTTCCCTCCTGAAATTCCACCCTGCTTTGCTTTTGAAAGCTCTCTGTATTCTCTGGGATAAAGGCACGCACAGATAAAAGCTTGACTAGCTGGACGCTCTTTGTGTAGCCTCCAGCCTGTGGACCTGGGTTTAAGATGCTGATCTTCTGGGGACATCTATCCCTCCACAGGAGACAGAAAGACCATCCAGTGCCTGGGCAGGGTCCTACAGGCCAGAACTAGACACCAATTTCAGAGAAGAGTTTGTAAGATGTGACTGAGCCACCTTCCCACCCATGCAGGGGGAGACTCTGGCTCCAACAGTCAGGTCACCGCCCATGCCAGGGGCTGGAGACATGGCTCAGAGGTTAAGAGCACACACTGCTCTTCCAGAGGACTAGGCTTCAGTTCCCAGCCTCCACCCGACAGCTCACAACCACCTGCAACTCCAGATCCAGAGGATCTGGCGCCCCTTCTGACCTCCCTGAGCTCCTGCAAGCACACATATAACATAAGTATATATGTTTAAAAAAATGTTCCTTGTAGCTGAGGGCGATAAATCAACAAGGAAGAGACAAACCAAAGATAAGTGATAATCAGGCACTCTCTCTCTCTCTCTCTGGGGTGTGTGTGTGTGTGTGTGTGTGTGTGTGTGTGTGTGTGAGAGAGAGAGAGAGAGAGAGAGAGAGAGAGAGAGAGAGAGAGAGAGAGAGAGAGAGAGAGAGGATAACTTTCAGGAGTTAGTTATCTTTATCCACCGTGTGCAATCCAGGGATTAAACTCAGGTTGGCAGTTTTGGTGGCAAATACCTCTACCCACTGAGCCATCTTGCCACTCACTGCAGCTTTTTCCTTGGGTCCAGGAGATCTGAACTCAGGTCCTCAAGCTTGTATGGCAAGTGCTTTGCCAACTGAACCATCTTAGCCCATGGCTTATGCTTTTCTTCTTCTTTGTGACAGGGTTTCAAATTAAAGGCATGCACCATCAAGCCCAGCTTGCTTTTCTTTTTTCAAAGAGGATCAACTTTCATCTAATGTGTATGAGTGTTTGCTTGAATATACATCTGTGCATCCTGTGTGTGCAGTTCTCCTGGAGGTCAGAAGAGGGCGTCAGACCCCCTGGACCTGGAGTTAGAGACGGTTCTGAGCTGCCACGTGGGTGCTGGGAGCTGAGCACTGATCAAGGAGCAGCAAATGCTTTTAACCCCTGAGCCATCTCTCCAGCCCCCAGACTTAAGCTTTAAGCTGGCTTGATTATACTCAGGTATGCACAGTACTTCCTGGGGTTAAATTTTTTAATGACATGCATGTGCGTGTATCAGCTGTGTGTGTGAGTAAAAGTCAGAGGCCAACTTTGGAATTGGTTCACCCATTCCACCATCTGGCTGCCAGGGATCAAACTCAGGACCTCAGTCTTGGAGGCAAGCACCTCCGTGTGCTGAGCCATCTAGTCAGCCTTCGTTTTGGTATGAGTCTCCATCTGCAGCCAAGGCTAGCCTGGAACTGGAGGTCATCCTTCTGCCTCAGCCTCCTAGATGTGGGGATCATAGATGTGAACTGATTCACTAGTTCCTTTCCAATTTTGAAGACAAAAAGGGGCTTACAGGCCACCTAACACAAGTCCTCCAGGTATTAGTAGGAATACCGGGTCTGCAGATGATAGGGAAAGCCCTGAGATGATGGACAATTCTCTTTGGGACATGGGACCCAAAATAAGTAACTTGAGAGTTTGTTCTTCTTTCATGGAACAGGCTGAGCAGTCTGACTGTCTCCCTCCAGTCCAGGAACACGGGTCATGTACAAGAACATACTCTATCTCAAAGGCATGACCCAGAGGGCGGACATGCATGTCCCTTTCTGTTGCAGTAGCTACGTTCAGGCATAAGGCTTAACTAGTGGCAGGTGGTTGGGAACTGTCTAGTCAGACAGAAAGTTCTAGACTATAGAAGAAAATGCTATCGAGGGAGGAGGAGCACGTATTTAGGAAGGCAGTTGGGAGGATGGGTCCTTCCTCTCCTACAGCTCTGACAGCAAACACAAACATAACCTCAGCTGCTGGAAGAGAATTTCTTTCCTTCCCTTTTTATATGTTTACTAATTTGTCCCACTTATTATTTGTCTGAGAATCCTTCAACCTCCACCTTCTGTGGGACTGGGATCACAGGAACGCTCCACACCCAGCTTATGTGGTGTTGGGGATCGAACCCAGGGATCCGCACACCTTAAGCAAATACTCTACCTACTGAGCTACTTGCCCAGCACCTTGATTGGGATCACTTTCAGAACGAGATACAAATGCTTAAAAATGCCAATTGAGAATCTTCACTTTGGGATGTGGGAAAAGCAGTCATGAGTTAATCTGTTTTGGGAAGTAAAAGGAGCCTTGTTTCTGGTTGGGTTTACTTGGACTCCGAGGGCAGCTCAGAAAGAAGAGGGGCAGGTGCACATTGAACAATGCTGGCGGTGTATGAAAGCCTGTCAAGGTAACCTCGGGTCACAACTCCCGAGGAGATTGACTTTCAGGTCACCGAGTCAGAAGTGGCTGTGTGTGTGTGTGTGTGTGTGTGTGTGTGTGTGAGTGTGAGTGTGTGTGTGTAGTATTTGGAAACAAAGTAAACCAATGTCCTTAGAGTTCTATTTATACATGTATACACTAATGCCACATTATCATCATCATCATCATCATCATTATTTTGTTTTTTGGAGACAGGGTTCCTCTGTTTGACAGCTCTGGCTGTGCTGGAACTCACTCTGTAGACCAGGCTGGCCTTGAACTTACTGAGGTCCACCTGCCTCTGCCTCCCAAGTGCTGGGATTAAAGGTGTGTGCCACCACCACCCAGCATGATGCCACTTTAAGAGAAATATTATTATTTTAAATGAAACAGAGTCTTTCTATACATAGACCAAGATGACCTTGAACTCACTACTTGGCTATCTTGGATGTACACTTGAGCTCTTTCCTTATGTATTCCAGGCAGGCCTCAAACTCCACATGCAGCTGAAAACGACCCTGAACTTGGGATGCTCCTGCCTCCACTCCCCAAATGCTGGGATTAGAGGCTTAGGACTGAACGCAGGGCTTTGCGCATGCCAGGCAAGCACTCTTCCCACTGATAACGGCCACTCCCAATTCCCTACCCAGACTCCCAACTCTCCAAGGCACACTCTTTTGCCTGAAGACTGCGTGATCACCACTGTTATCCTGTATATGGCATGCTGCCTGGAGCCAGGACAAAAACCCACACCCTTAACTATTCTTGCTTCCAAAAGGGAAGACACCCATTTAGTCTGTGTTTCAGTGATGCCGGGGTTTAAGCGCGTGACCTCAGACATGCCAGGCAGGTCTGGCACTGCGCCATATTCCCAGACTGCTAGTTTTGTGTGTGTGTGTGTGTGTGTGTGTGTGTGTGTGTGTGTGTGTGCGCACATTGGGCTTTTCTTTTTCCTTTTTCCTCTTTTTCTTTGCTACTGGTTATAGAAGCCATGGCTTTCCACACCCCAGTCCTGCCCAGACCCCACGTGTTTGTTTGAACATAGAACTATGATGTAGACTTTGAAGGAAGGACGATCTGGAGACACTGACTGGTGTCCCGACACAGCTGTCTGCAGGTGACACTGTTTACAGGGATAGAACCCAATTCTCCTTGACTCAGCTGGCCTGAGAATGTCCTAGGCCGTGTACTGTCCCAGGCGGAGTCCCTGGAGTAGACTTACCACTGTGGTCCAGGGCACCTGGGGAATCCTGGTGTAGGTCATGGTGATGTAGACAATGAGGAAGAAGACCGTGAGGACCCAGTAGAAGACAGCCACAAACATGACCCAGCCAAAAGCAGGGACCCGGAAATACTCCGTGCCGGCGATGAGCGTCCATACCAGCAGCCCTAAGACCTGCGGAGCAGCAGAGGATGCAGAGAGAGGCGGAGTGAGGAAAGAGAGGAGTAGAGGGAATTAATCAGTGCCGCTACAACTTGTTGTACACATTGAGCAGATGTCTACACACATGAACACACACCCACAGATGCACACACCCGTGCACGTGTCCCCCACGTAATCGCGATGAATAATAAACCCTTTAAAACACCCCGTCCTTACCCTGTGCCTCAGATAATCTTCCACAGCACAGGAAGCAACAATATAATCCCTAAGCCACACAGCAGCAGGGCGTGCGCCGCATCCAGAAGGCAGCCCCCGCAGTCCAGGGGGCGCGTCACACAGGCCAGCCTGTCTGTGGTGGCTTTCTTTGTGCTGAACAACGCAGTTTGGCCCTTCCGGCCTCTCACATCGCACCCTGGCTCATTTTAGACAGAGACAAATCAGAAACGACAATGCGGATGGCAGCTAGTCCCTATCTGCTCCGTTGGTCTAAATGGCCAATTTGGAGAGCACACTTTTTGTCACTCAGTGGATTCTGGGAAATGCTGGAATGGAGTTGCTGTGTTACAGAGGTCGGTCAGAGCTACTCTGGGAAAGCAACACGCTCTCTGAGCACCTGCTTTCAACCATGTGCGGTGCTGGGCGCTCAGGTCACAGATGTGAGAGGCACAGTGTCCCTGAACCTGACAAACAATGGTCACGGCCACACGCAGCTCATGGCCTGCATCAATTTATGATGACGATTGTGTGTGTGTGTGTGTGTGTGTGTGTGTGAGACAGAGAGAGGGAGAGGGAGAGAGAGAGAGGGAAACAGAGACAGAGAGAGAGAGAGAGACAGACAGACAGAGAGAGGAGGCCAGTCAATCCCAGGTGTTGTTTCTCAGTAGTCATCCATTTATTTGTTGAGACAGGGTCTCTCCCTGGCACCTGGGGTTGTCCCTTCTGCCGGGCTGTCTGACCAGCGAGCTCCCCTGTCTCTGCCTCTGCAGCATTAGGATATAAGGATGCACCACTATGCTAGGCTCTCCACGCGGGTGGCGGGGATTGAACTCAGGTCCCCATGCTTGTGTGGCAAGTACTTTACTAATCAAGCCGTGGCCCCGGCTCACATGACTCATTTTTTTTTCCCCGGCCAGCGAACTTAGCTATGCTTTCCCTTTTCTGTTGCCTGTGGTTTTATGCCTAGAAGGAGGAGGCCGTGGCCACATGTATGAAGCCTAAAATAGTCACCTTTGCAGAGGTCTGCCAGCTCCTGCCTGACACCCCACGTGCTATGTATGCGTCAGGAAATATGTGAGCGTGAAACGGTTTTGTTTCCTACATTTTCCCCCCAAATAAACCAGGTTATTAATGCATAAAGCTAGAGACTCTAAGAGAAAGGGCACCTCTCGGAACCACACCGTCTCCACGCTGCTGGCTCCCTATGTCTGCTCAACTTTTTCCCTCAGAGTCAGGGACTGCTCTTCCAGCCCACCATCTACGGCTTCTCAAGTCTGTTCAGCAAGCATGGCGACCATCTCCATTCATCCACTAGGGGGCACCGGCACACTGCGGATGAATGACCCGGCCAGCCCAGTCAGGGTTGGCTGTCTGCAGGCTGGTTCTTGAGGAAGGAGTATGGAGAAGGAACTTGACCCATTGTCACAAGTTGGCACATCCACCATTAAATAAGCATGAATTAATGCAAAGACCTGGAAGTCCGATTTAATCCCCGGGTCCTTGGCCTCTCTGTGACATTCCCGAAGAGATTTTGCTGCGGCATCTCCATGAGCTGCGGCAGAACCTTGCAACACATCCAGCAGAGATCTCTAACAGAGCCCCTGGCCTCTCCTTTCCCACTCTTGGAAACAGGGGGATCGAGGTTTGTGACTTAGAGGCCCAGCACCAAGGTGGAGACTATCCAAGTTGCTTGACGGGGCAGATTTCAAACCGTATGACTCTTATTTCTATTCTGAAGGATGTCCTGAGGGTGTGTCTCCTCACACCTTCCAGCCCTTCCTCAGCACCCCTGTGGAGTCCTCGGGTGATCTAGAGTAGAATGAAGCCCCCAGTCAAGGTGCTGTTAGGACTTGGGACTCAGATTTGGACATTTTAAGATTGATCAAAGAGCCAGGCAGTGGTGGCTCACGCCTTTAATCCCAGCACTCAGGAGGCAGAGGCAGGCGGATCTCTGTGAGTTCGAGGCCAGCCTGGTCCACAGAGCAAGTTCCAGGACAGCCTCCAAAACAATACAGAGAAACCCTGTCTCGTAAAACAACAACATCAACAACAAAAAAGACCGATACAGAGGCCATGTCACAGAACCCTGTTAGTCCCAGCAGTCAGTGCAATGGGAATCTGCATACAGGGTGGGTGTTAAAATGTGTCTAAAGACTGAATTTAGGTAGCATCAGGCAGCACTGTGACCTGTCACCCACGGACACAGCTGCCTTAGAGTCACCTGAGTGAAGCCAATGGAGTCACCTCACTACAGCAGACTTGCACATTGTCTGTTGTCTGTCCTCCATCTTGGGCGAGTAGTGACACAACAGGAAACAATGTTACCAGTGTACCGAGTCCCACGCAACCCTGCAGTGATTAGTGGTCTCCTGGTTATTCCTCCTGGCAAGCATGACCAAATGCGTTGTGCAGTTTGCGTGTTGGCAGCAAGGACTCTCGGGGTCCCTGGCAGTGAAAGAGGAGCGTCAGGGTCCTGTGCCCGTAACTAGAACCACGACACATGCAGCCGAAGTTGGCACACACTGTTTCTTGGTCACAGCAGCTGGTGAATGTCTTAGGCTTTGAGTCCCATGCAGTCTCTGTCCCCTGTAGTGTGGCCTTTGCCAGGCCAAGCAGTGTGTAGATGGAGGAGGGGCAGTGGGCAGATTTCATAGGAACTTTGTTTACAAACAAGGGCAGGCTGGATTTGGTCGGAGGGCTGCAATTAGCCAGGCTCTCCAAGTGTGTGGTCCCAGACGGGGAGGTCCTGAGAGCTAAGAAGAGACACACAGACTCCATGGACCTGCCACTCAGCAGTGCTGGGAAGGGGCGGGGCAAGGGGGTCACAGTCCCCATCCCCAGGCAGCTCCAGGGACTAGCCCTCCCTTCCCGTCACGTGTGCCATGCCTAAGGGGCTTGAGTGTGATCTTAGATGCTGTCTTAGTGAGGGTCACTACTGCTGTGGTGACACACCACGACTGAAAACGACTTGGGGAGGGAAGGGTTGACTGGGCACACATTTCCACAGTGTAGTTCACTGAAGGGAGCTAGGACAGGCGCTCAGACAGGGCAGAGGAACCTGATGCAGAGGCCGTGGAGGAGGGCTGCTTACCGACTTGCTCCTCATGGCTGGCTCAGCCTGCTTCCTTATAGAACCCATGGCCACTCTCCCAGGGGGAGCATCACCCTCATGGCTGGGCCCTCCCATATCAATCACTGATTTAAACAAAACAAAACAAAACTGGGCTTTGGGGGTGCACATCTTTAATCCCAGCACCCGGGAGGCAGGGGCAGGAGGGTCTCTGAGTTCAAGACCAGCCTGGTCTACAGTGTGAATTCCAGGACAGGCTCCAAAGCCACAGAGAAACTATGTCTCGAAAAACCAAATGAAGAAGGAGGAAGAAGAAGAGGAAGAGGAGGAGGAGGAAGCAGCCGCAGTTCCTCTGCAGGCCTGCCGACACCCCGATCTTACGGAGACTTTTTCTCAGTGGAGGTTTCCTCCTCTCAGACGACTTCAGTGTGTGTCAAGCTAAAACTCTCCAGTACAGATGTGAATGATACAGCTCTAAGCTCTCAGACCTCCCAGAGGACACGGACATCACAACAAGCCTGTCGATCATCCAAGAGTGCTCTGTCCACATCAGCCACCAAGGCAAACACCAGGCCAACCAGAAAGCCAATTAGTCTGCAAGGTCAGAGGTCGCTGTGGTGACGGCTCTATCCTCCAGTGAAGGGTCTGGGTTTCCTGATGCACCAAGGCTGTCCCCGAATGTTAGACGTGGATGAAGTGTTCTGATGCCAACCTGATTCCCTGCTCTAGTTGACTGAGGTGTCTTCTTCTGTCTTGGTGAAGGGTAATAAAGGGGAAGACAGGAAAGAGTTAAAGGAATAAAAGAGCCCCTGTAAGGAGGGCTGAGGACTTAGGGCAGCTGGCAGAGAGCATCCCAGCCAGTGTGTGAAGCCCAAGGTCTGAGGCCTTACACCACATAAGACAAATGTGGTGGCCACACATCTGTAATTCTAGGAGGTGGGAGGATGGGCTTGGGGCTGAAGAGATGGCCTGAATGGTTAAGAGCATGTGCTGCTCTTGCAGAGGACCCGGGTTCAATTCCCAGCACCCACGTTGTATGGCTCACAACAGCCTGTAACTCCAGGGAAATCTGGTACCTCTTGCCTCCAAAGTCACCTGCACACATGTACATAGACACATACTCATACCCATACATATAGACACATAATACAAACACACAGACACACATACTAATTAATATACATATACCCCCCCACAGACACATAAACATATATCCCTCACATAGGTATATATGCAAATACCCACACACATGTATATATACTCACACACATAGACATTCATACTAATATACATATGCCCACATACATAGACACATACACATAATTTTAAGGAAAAAAAAGACCTAAGTAAAATAATGCAAAACAGCTCCCGGGCTACTGTGTGGAGACACTGGCTCTCACAAGCTTGCTCAGTCCCTTTCACGTCACCCCTGCGTGAGGCGTTCCACTCACGATGATGTGGGCTCTTTGCCAGCAGGATGGAGGTCTTTCTCTGCAGTCTTTCTTGCCTCTGGGGAGCTGGGGGACAAGAGTAGAGTGCTGGGCCACCCAACGGTCTCCAAAGCCACTCAGAGCCAGTGGCTTCCAAGTTCACTGTCTCGTGCCCAAGACAGCAAGGAAAGCAGGGCAGGAAGTATGAAGAGAGCAGAATGAACGTAGATCCACTGAGGGAAAGTAAGTTAGAACTCCTGAGAGTAGGAGGGGGCCCCAAGGATAGGTCTGTGGAT